CGCAGCACTGCCGCTTTGTCCAGAAGGATGTCCAGAAGGACGTCTGGAAGATGTCCGGTCTATCTGGTCTGATTAGCATATTACCCTTTTATTAGTATAGATGCTGGCCAGTGTGGGTGTCCCTTTGCTGGGGCTGATGAGGCCACATGTAGTTATGAGAGAACCCATTTTTTGTTTGTTTGTTTGTTTGTTTGTACGCTAATTCCCCCAGGATATGAAAGTCTGTCATGTTCTGGGTTTGCCTTGTTCTAGGTGAACAGAACCTGGGATTACCTTTCTTAAATTCATAGAATGATAACTCTTTGAGTCTGAGCCTTATGATTCTTGGGCATTTCTAAGTCACATCATGGTAGTCAAGGAGATTTCTGTGGTCTCCTGGCTGGCCCTCTGCACGAAGCACCTCCAAGTGTGTGCTTTAGATGGGGCTCATTAGTACGTAGTTCTTCAAGGAATCAGGGCCACCCTGTGACAAGATTGCGGGCCAAAGAAGAGTGTGACCACAGTCAGACTTTTGATTCCTTCACTATATACAGTCCACGTCAAGTTCTCAAGACTTCAAACTCTAGAACCCCCCAAAAGAAGGAAACTCTTAATAGGCTCAAATCATTCCTTAGAGAATTTCAGTGGATAGACAATTTGCTATTTGGAAAAGAATGGATCTGGTATTGCTTTCCTTCCCAGCATTATTGGGCATGGATCTATTAGCATTCTGAAAACTAGCTTTTCTTCAGGGAAGGGTTCTCCCAAAGCCGCCACCTCCATGAAGCCTTTTCTGATTCCCCTGAAGACCCCAGTGTGGTCTCTCCCTCCTGGCATTTTGTTCCTCTAACACTAATAGTCATCACAATGATAACATTATCTTTGCTGAGCACTTATGTGCCAGCCATGCTGCTAAGGGTATTTGCATATAGCCTTACTTAATCTTCTCAACCGCCCTAACTCATAGGCACTATAATTATCTCCCTTGGACAGGAAAGGAAATTGAGACCTAGTGAGATGAGGTAACTTATCTGAGGTCACCCAGGCAGGAAGAGGCAGCCCCGGGCCTGACACTCACCTGCTGTTAACCATCCACTATTCTGCCTTTTCCTATATATCACTCTGAGAATCTGTCTTCTGCCCATAACAGTAGAAGCTGTTTCTTCCTTTGTGTTTTCACTCTTGGCTAATCTTTTTTTATTCATCTTTATAAAGTTCTATGTTAAGAACCATCCCCTGGTATTGGTCTAAATTTATAAATTATCTGGACTCAATGGCTAACAATTACCGTGATGAATCGGGGACCCAGAGTGAACAGAAGGGCAGCCCCCACCCCCGCCCATTGCTGATCATGGCTCTCTGCAGCTCAGCTGGTTTCGGGTGGGGTTGGCCCCATGCTCAGCTTTCCTTTCCCTCCTCTGCTGAAGGACTGTACACTCCCCAGGGCAAGGGCTCTGTCCTGGTCATTTCGTGGCACTTCCTCCCACCCCCTGCTCCTGCCACCAGTGTTTTGTACTTAGGAGGCAATCCCTGTTCTCTGCCTACAAGCAAGTGAGCCAGAACAAGGTGCCAAGTGCCATCTCCAAGGGCTGCCTGGAGCACTCATCTTGCCAAGAAAAGACATATTCCCCTTCATGTCACACCCTTCACATCTCACCTTAGCCCTTAATGGGCCCCAGGGCTAAGCTCGGAAGAGGGGCTTCCAGTCAGCTTGCTCTCCCAGGCAGGAGGCCCAGCAGGGGCCAGGAGACTGAGAGCTCTTCCTGCCTCTGAAGCTTTCACCTTTCCATGCTCTTCCAGCCTGTGGCCCACTTCTTTCCACCAAGGCCGGTTCACAGACATGAACTCTCTTCTCAAAGCCCTCACAGGGGCAGCTGCGGAATGCCTGTGGGTGCGGGTTGTCAGCACCCTTCCTACTGCCCAAGTCTTAGAAACGGCTCCTGAGGGCTGGCCTTCCCACTCCTGGTGTAGAGGGCATCCTGTGAGAAGGGCCCTGCTTCAGGCCGCAGGACAGCTTCCCATGAGGACTTTGGGCCTCTGCACCCAGGACAGAGTGTGCTAGAGGTGTCTCTGGGCCCCTTGGGTAAGGAATGCAGTCTCTCAGTGTCTCCGCCCACTCCCTGCCACAGAGGTGGGCAGGCATAAGACAGTCAGTGTCCAGGGCCTCCCTCCGCCATCTTAAACTCCAGGCAGGCTTTCCCTCTCCTGCCCCCATACCTGGCCTCTACCTTCTGCTCCCTCCGGGCTCCATCAGCTGCCACCCTGCTAGCCTGCTGTTTGTCGGGCACTCCACAGCCTCTGCCACTCTGAACCCAGCTGGGCACCAGCTGCTGCTCAGCTCTGCACACACGAGAGACCCCCCCCCCCCAGGCTTGGAGTCACCTTTTGCAGGGGGGAGAGCAGGACTTGCTCATCCTGGAGCCAGGTGGGGACATGTCAGGGTTCATCCTGATGCTGGGCTCATGTGCCCCTCCTGCAGCACCTTCCCTATGCCTGGCACGTCCCAGGAACTCAGCGCACAGAGTCAGTCTGTCCTGGGGACCCATGCAGCCCCCACACTCCCCCCTTGTGGCTACCCACAGGGGCACACAGCTTCCCACCCAAATCAAGTGCTTCCAGAACAGAAGCCTTGCTCCTGGTGCTCACCCACTCCTGACTAGGCACTAGGGTTCCCCGCTTGCCCTCCTGATCTGCAGAGGGACCCCTTGCTTGGCCCAAAGGCCTGATTCCCAGCTCGATGAGCTTCCATGGGACCCAAGGGCCCGGCAGCCCAGAGCTTATCTTCAACTCTTAGAGCCCAGTTCCCGGCGTAGAAAAGAACCCCCCCCCCCCCCGCCCCCGACCTTGGTGTGTGACACCAGGGAAAGAACAAACCACGCTATATTAGCCTTGCTTCTTGCTTGGGCCCTGGCACTTTAACACCCCAAGCTCATTGGGCCTGACACCCTAGAGCAAACCAGGACGCTAGCGCCTGCAGCAGGAGTGAAGAGCCCAAGGCCCTCACTGCTCAGCCAGGCCCCCTGAACCCGGCCTGCCACTGAGTGTCAGGGTCAGAATCTGTGCCCGGTTAGGCTCTGCATAAGGGCATGACTTGGAGCTTGGGCCCCAAAGATGCTCCGTAAATATCTGTGGGATGAATACAAGAGGGGAGCGTCCTCGAGGCGGTAAGGTAAGAGGACATCCTGGAGGGTGTCCTGGTGGCACTGGCTCGGCCCAGCAGGAGGGGAGGCACAGGTGGGAACAGCAGAAATAAGCATTTCGCTCTCTAGCCGGGAAGCCAGAGGCCAGCTTGGACTGGGATGTTTCAAAATCCATCTGGAAAGGGAGTGGCAGGTAGGATGGGGCCCACAGGAACCCACAGCTGCTGCCCCTGTCCCAGATGGCACGTCGCCTGGACACCTCCACATCCCCACCCCTGCCTGGGAAGCCCGAGCCTATGTAGGTAGCCGGGACCTTACCGTGCCGCTCCTCCGGGCAGCTGGGCCTCGAGCTCCCCACTGCAGGCTGGTGCTTGTCTCTAGCCCAGGAAGCGCCACTCCCTTCAGGCAAGAAGGGAAAAAAAAAGAAAAGAAAAAGAAAACCTCAGTGCTTGTCTCACCCAGCCGCTTCTCCCAAAGGCTCCTGGTTGGTGTCGTCCTGCCTCTGTGGGCACACAGCCGCCTCCCTCCGCAGCTTACTCACCGGTGTGCCCGTGAGGCTGCCAGCTGTGTGGGGGAGGCGGGGGGGCCCACGCCCCTCGGCCTGACACGCACCGGAGCATGCCTCGTGGGGGCCAGGCTGAGCAGTGGCCCCTGGCTGGGCCCTGAGTATGGGGAAGCTGTGCCCTGGCCGGCGCTCTTCTCAGGAAACGCACCCCTGTGAGCTTGGCAGAGAACACACATAGATGCTGACTGGCACTGCATGGGCGAGTGACAGCATTCCTGGGTAGAAAGCTGTCTCCTTAGTGCCCAGGGCTGTCAGAAGAAGGAGCAGCAATGTGCTGTCCGGCCGGCTGGCGGGTTGGCTTCCATCCTTGGCCTGCCCCTCGGACCGCTCCCTGCCTCGGCATTCTGCCGCGTGTCTGAGCTGTGGACTCAGAGGGCCTGGGCTTGTCTGAGCGGGCGCTGCTCTCACCCTGCTCAGGCCAGGTGCTTGTGTCCCTTTCCTACAACACCTGTCTCAGGACCGGGGCTGGCCCAGCATCAGTTAGGACGGGCTCCTGCCAAATCCCGCATCCTCGGCTCTCTGTGGGCCCCCTGCTGTCCTCAGCACTGGGACAACACACACTCTCTGACACGTGGGGCCACACCCAGCACAGAGCCACCTACCTGCCCAGGTCGGCCTAAGCCAATCCAGCCTCGCTCTCCAAATGCCACTCTGACCCTAGAAGCCACTCATTTACAGAAAAATCTCGTGGGAGGTGAGTTCAAAGCCAGCCCGGGAGAAATCCAGTCGGCATGGACCAGACTCCCCTCCTCTCCTGGCACCTCTGGAGGACAAGGCAGCCGGATCACCATAGCGGCTATTGCACTTCGGTGGCTGGCGTCTCTCCCATGGCACTTCCGGCCCCCACAGCGTCTTCTATAACCTTAGGAAGGGGTGGCAGAGTCTCAGCAGGTCCCATCTTCCTCGGAGCCCAAGGCAGGGAGGGGAGGCTGGAAGGGGCGGGACTCAGATGCAGCTCCAAGTTTCCAGCTCCCAAAATAATCAGATGCAAAAGAGAAGAAAGAAACCCCCGGGCCCGCAGGTGACTCAGTGCCAGTGGGCCAGCTTAGTCACCTGGATGGCTGCTCCCGCTCCCGGCACGGCAGGCAGGGAGCAGCCCTCCCCCACCTGCTGTCCACGGCTACGAGAGGGAGCGCG